TAAAATAGGACAATAACCACGCCCACATCCCAAATAACGGTAATTTAGAGAAATACGAAATCTTCGATAAAGCAGTAAATCTTAAAGCTAATTTACTCTAAATTGATGCTTGCAGCAATTCTTTAATAAGAAATACGTTTATGATAAAATTTTGGAAATGGGCGTGGCACCGCCCACTTATGATCACATATATGTATCTCGGTAACCGTTCTAACAATTTATACCAAACTCGGTATGGTTATTGTGCTTGCCACATAAAAGCAAAACGTTCAAAATTATTGAAATCGGACTAAAATTACCGCTTTTCATATAACGGTAAATTTTAGAAATGCTTGAGACTTCAATATTTCGAAATTTAAGGACGCTAGTTTACTCAAAATTGATAAACCTCGAATTACGATGTAGCGGTAGCTTTCGGAAAGGTGGAAAACATATATTTAATATTTGCGCCGGGTATTTAATGTTCGGCTCCGCCCGAACTTAAACTTTCTTACTTATTATAAATAATATAGTTCATTCCATAACAAAAACCTTGTTAATCCAAGTTTAAAACTTTGCACAAAAATGAAAAGCAAATCAACAAAGTTTCATCAAAGAACGTAAATAATAAGAAGGACAACTTGTGCTTTCTCTTTTGCGCTAGTACGTTTTCATCAAAATTCCACACTTTATTCTGAATAAAATGTGTTTAATTTTGGTGAAACTTTGATTTTCTTTTAATTTTTGTACAAAATGTGAAACTTGGATTTACATGGTTTTTGTCATGGAATGAACTATATTTTTAATAAAAAAGTAACTAAAATTAATTTGAAAATAAAAATAAAAATGCGACACTTATCCATAAGGTCACCCCTATAAGTTAACAGCGCACTGCATCGTTTACAAACTATTTATGAAAAAAAATTGTATTGTTTCTTTTGGTACATTGCTGAGGAACAATATTAGTTATAATTACATATATGACTTCATATAAGTATATTATTCATGAAATATTTATAAAAAAATAGCTTTTGGGGCACACTGCTAAGAAACAACAACTTTTCTAAATGCTTTCCAGACAAGCGATTTCTACTTTCTCTACTACATGACCGCTCTTTTCGCGAAAATTCTAATAACGGGCGTCATTTGTTGAGTTGCCATTGCAATGATAAAAGTAGTAGAAATTGCTCCTTCGATACCAAGTACTTTTTTTCGATACTTACTCGATACCGAACAAAAAGGTGTCGAGTAAAAAAATACTTGGTATCAAAAGAAAAGTATCGAGTATTTACTTGTATTTACTTGTATCGAATGAACCCTAGCCACACCAAGAAGCTTGCAGTGAACATGTGCCGATATCGCAGCTAACAGCTCTTAGAAGTAAAAAAAAAACAGTTGTCAAATGAAATGCACGATGTGCAGTGTTTGTTTGTTTTGAACGCAGCGCTGCTTGTACATAAATTCCGCTTTGCGCATGCCTGAAGCTTGGAAGGTTATTTTTTTTATTTTTCCGCTGTGCTAGCTAAGTATAAAAAGAGGAGAGAATAGAGATCAATATGTGGTTTGTTGATGCTCTCTAACCACAAACGCGTGAAAGGCAAACGGTATAGCAATGCTTGTTTAATACTTTAATGGGAGTGTCTATTCGCACTATGCCAGTGTCACCAGTGTACCAGTGTCCGACGGCTTCGGCTGCGCCAATGTACCAGTGTCGCCAGTGTCACCAGTTTCACCAGTGTCACCAGTGTCACCAGTGTCGGCAGTCTTCGGCTCTGCCAGTGTCACCAGTTTCACCAGTGTCACCAGTGTCACCAGTGTCGGCAGTCTTCGGCTCTGCCAGTGTCACCAGTTTCACCAGTGTCGCCAGTTTCATCAGTGTCGCCAATTTCAAAAGTGTCGCCAGTGTCACCAGTTTCACCAGTATGGCCAGTGTCATCTGTATCACCCGTGTCGCTATTGTCACCAGTGTCGCCAGTTTCACCGTGTCGCCAGTTTCACCAGTGCCACCAGTGTCGCCAGTGTCACCAGTTTCACCAGTGTTGGCAGTGTTCGGCTCCGGCAGTGTCGCCAGTGTAACCAGTGTCACCAGTCTCATCAGTGTCGCCAGTGTCACCAGTTTTCTCCAGTGTCACCAGTGTAGCCAGTGTCCCCAGTGTTGCCGGTGTCAGCAGTGTCACTGGTACACTGGTGACACTGTCGACACTGGTGCAACTGGTGACACCGGCGACAGTGGTGACACTGGCGACACTGGAGAAAACTGCTGATACTGGGGACACTGGGGATACTGGCGGCACTGGTGAAATTGGTGATACTGGCGACACTGGTGGCACTGGCTACACTGTTACACTGGTACACTGGCGACACTGCTGACACTGTTGCACTGGTGACACTGTCACACTGGTGAAACTGGTACACTGGTAACACTGGTGATACTGGTGACACTGGCGAAACTTGTGAAACTGGCGACACTGATGACACTGGTACACTGGTGAAACTGGTGACACTGGTACACTGGTGACACTGGTGACACTGGCGACACTGGTGATATTGGTGACACTGGTGACACTGGCGACACTTGTGAAACTGGCGACACTGGCAGAGCCGAAGACTGCCGACACTGGTACACTGGCAGAGCCGAAGCCGTCCGACACTGGTACACTGGTGATACTGGCAAAGTGCGAATAGACACTCCCTACTTTAATTAAACATACTTATTAAAATTCCATTTTAAGAATACTACTGTGTCCTATTGTGGTAGAAATATGTAAATTTAAAACTTGAATCATAGAAATCAACACAGTACATCGGCTGTTTTGCGCTTACAATAAATTTGGATTTTAATTTTATATATAGTATAGATAAAGATTACTGGAGGCTGATAGCTAAAAACTTTCGAATACTTGTAAAAACCCACCTTACTTAGTCTAGTTGCGAAATTCAAATATTAACCCGATGCGAGTCTCCATTTTGTACAATTTTTGGCTCTAATATTTAAGAGCGTGTTCAAGCAGATGGCAAGGGCATATTTTTTGGAAAATTGACGCGCTATTAGGCTAAATAAATGTTTTCGGGGTCGCTGATTACGATGGGACCATTTATTTTTCTCAAGTGTTTGAGAAATTCAAGAAAATATGAGAAAAAAGAAAAAAAATATATAAAAATTTTCACATTTAATGCTTAAAATCTATTGTTTAGAATTCGCTTTTATCAACTAATATACACTCGGGATAGTAGGCCATTCATTTGGTGTCAAGATACGAGCAAATTTCTAAAATGGTGCAAATGCGAAAAGTATAAATTTTTCGGGTAACGGGTTAAATGACTAATGAAACCGACTCTTCGGGTAAATTACAAGTTTCTATTACTACGTTTATACGCACGCATTATTTGCAAATAACAATTTGCAAAATGGTAAACTTTGACGTATAAACGCTGAGTTAATTTTTTGTTTGCAAATAACTAAAACACGCAAATAAGTATTGATTAGTGGTACTATTTGCAAATAAGCGCAAGACGCTGCCATTCTTAGGTTAGTTTGCCTTTTCGATGGTCATCTTATTGCCTTTTTACGATCAAGATCTTGCCTTTTTTAACTTTATTTTCCTTTTCGATGGTCATATCATTGCCTTTTTATAATCAGGCAATATTATAAAAGAATTTTTCACCATCGAATAAACAGTGAGTTAGGTATTTGCAAATTATTTTTATTTGCAAATAGCTTACGTATAAACGTAGTTTATGCTTGGAGATTATCACAAGGTGTACATGTATCTTATCAGGAAGTGAACTTGCAGACAAAATTTGATCGATACATAATTGATCTTCTGATTATTTTAACCCCCGTTTTCAGTGAAAGGTAAATTGAATACAAATTGGAGGCGTCCGACAGGTTAGAAGTAGAAGATTGAACTGTCTTTAGTGTCGGAAAACAAATTTGCCTTATCCTGAGTTTCACTCGAAAATTTTTCATCCGCCAATACTAAATACATGGAAACGAATAGTGAACCGGTTCGAGTAAAATGAAACTCATAATGAAGTTGAATATATATGAGATCCGTACGATATGTCGAAAAAAGAAATTGTGAAAAAAATGACGAAAATCTAAAAGCCTGTTTACGCCCAAAACATATTTACCGAATTTCGCAAGGATTTTTGATGGTAGAGACCTCGAAAACATTTATTTAGCCTACGAGCGCTTCGATTTTCCACAGAATCTACCCTTGGCATCTCCTTGAACAGGCTCTGAGATATTTGTATCAAAAAATTTTACAAAACGGGGCTCGCATCGGGTTAATATCACTATGCGACAGTCAAAATCGGGATGGGATGAAACCAACGGGAAATGTTATATCGGTCAAAAACAAGTTATACGTGGCCCGGCGTTTCGCTGGGTCACGTCTAGGAATCGAGATATATCGATTTGAAGTTAGTAACTATCATATAGGGGAAATTGTCAACTTTGGTGGTCTTTTTTATTTTATAACTCGAGAACCACT